ATTGATGAATATAAAAATGGTTCACAGGAACCTTCAAAATGTATTTTTATGTCACTGTGGTAATTAATTACTTTTCTCTTGGTTTAATCTTGGCTCTATTTTCAATTTGGGATTTTTTTTTTACTTTTTGCTTTCTGGATATAGTTCTCTCTGATGGTGTTATTTATTCATCATAGTTATTACATGTGATACATTACTGATGACTACTGATGTAATTGCAGACATCTGTAATAGAATCTGCTCCATTAAATGATTTGGAGAAAAGATTAGGTAGTTTCATGTCAGTTCTCCCAGGACACTTATTACAGTTCTCAGTGGATTCAATTGATTCAAAAATTATGAGTATTAATCAAGGAATTTACAACAGCATATCCATCATTTAAGATTGTTTTATCTCCCAGGAAAAATTACTCTAGTTGAAGAACAGTTAGAGAAGTACAGTTAGAGAAGACAATTATTTGTTCCATGTCACATCACCATCCTTTACAATTCTTTGTATGCTTGAAGGCAAAAGGTGCTGACATTTAAGAGCCGAGGTGGCGCAGTGGTTAGAGTGCAGTACTGCAGGCTACTTCTACTGCCTGCCAGCTGCCTGCAATTTGGCAGTTCGAATCTCACCAGGCTCAAGGTTGCCTCAGCCTTCCATCCTTCCGAGATCAGTAAAATGAGGAGCCAAATTGTTGGGGGAAATATGCTGACTCTGTAAACCGTTTAGAGAGGGCTGTAAAAGCACTGTGAAGCAGTATATAAATTTAAGTGATATTGCTATTATTAGGTTTAACAGATAACCAGAGTTGGAAGGGACCTTGTGGGTCATCTAGTCCAACCTCCTGCCCAAGCGGAAGACCCTACACCATTTCTGACAAATGGCAGTCCAATCTCTTCTTGAAAGTCTCAAGTGATGGTGCTTCCACAACTTCCGAGGGCAAGCTGCTCCATTGGTTGATCTCACTGTCAAAAAGTTTCTCCTTATTTCCAGGTTGAATCTCTCCTTGTTCAGTTTCCATCCATTATTCCTTGTCTGACCTACAGGTGCTTTAGAAAATAGCTTCACCCCTTCCTCTCTATGGCAGCCCCTCAAATACTGGAAGACTGCTATCATGTCTCCCCTGGTCCTTCTCTTCACTAGACTAGCCAAGCCCAGTTCCTGCAACCGTTCGTTGTATGTTTTAGCCTCCAGTCCCCTAATCATCCTGGTTGCTCTTCTCCGTACTTTTCTAGAGTCTCAACATCTTTTTTATAATGGGGTGAACAAAACTGGATGCAGTACTCTAGGTGTGGTCTTACTAAGGCTTTATAGAGTGGTATTAGTACTTCCCTTGATCTTGGTTATATCCCTCTGTTAATACAATTTAGGATTGCATTAGCTTTTTTGGCTGCTGCTGCAAACTGCTGGGTCATATTTAGCTGGTTGTCCACTAAGACTCCAAGATCCCTCTCAGTTACTGCTATTGAGCCTGGTTTCACCCAGTCTATATGTATACTTTTGGTTTTCATTGCCTAAGTGTAGGACTTTATTTTTCTCTACATTGAATTTCATTTTGTTAGATATGGCCCAGTGTTCTAGTCTGTCAAGATCCATCTGGATCTTGAGCCTATCTTCTTGGGTGTTAGCTATTCCTGCCAGCTTAGTATCATCTGCAAATTGGGTAAGTTCCCCTTCTATTCCCTCATCTAAGTCATTAATGAAGATATTGAAGAATACTGGGCCTAAGATGGAACCTTGTGGCACCCCACTGCTTACTTCCCTCCATGTAGACTTAGACCCATTAAGGACTACTCACTGAGTATGGTTTGCCAGCCAGTTGCGAGTCCATCTGGTGGTGGTGCTATCTATTCCACTTTTTTCTAGCTTACTAAGAAGTAGGCTGTGGTCTACTTTGTCAAGGTTTTTCTTATTGCAACAGATGTAAAATTTGCTTGATCATAAATTTCCTTGGGGAGTTGTACCTGAATCTGTATCATACAGTCTACTACACGCTGTGCTACTAGGATACATGCTTAATGTTATTCAACTAATCTAAGGATTTAGTTGGGATTATGCTTAGCACAAAGACACATATTTAAAAATGACCAGCTACTTTACAAAAGTATGTGAATATCTATTTTAAATATTTATATTTTATAATGTCTGAAAGTAAACAACTTTTGAGGCTAACCACCTTTATTTCATCTTTGTATATATACAGTTGACTAACTTTAATAAGAATAATGAAAAACTTAACGGCAATGTTGCTTCTTTAGAATCTGCTAATACATTTTATGAAATTGAATTTACCTTTTCAGATAATATACTTTTTAAAACTTCAATAGATTTTAAATCTGAAGGAAGAATGAATAAAAATATCTGATGTTGTTAAACCCTGGATTGATTCCAGTTTGCATTTCTTAATTTGGACAACTAAACCTGCTACAAAGGCCGATGGAAATAACTGCAGCAGATGTGATTTCCTTTATCTCTGTTTTAACTCTAAATTCCTGAAGACCAACATATAATGACAGAGTGCCAAAATAGAGACTATAATGGAGACTTCGCCGATTTCCTGACTACAACAAATGAAGCAAAAAATTATATCTGTAATCAAGATATATGTTTATAATATTTTAGATCTATATTTCATATTTTTATCTCTTGTGCTTTTTAATCAAAATGTGATGTGAATGTGCCATATGATAAATAATATACCATATGATAATAAATATACTGTTCTCCTCCTGCCAAAATATTCTAACTGGCTTTAAAGTTCTTTTAAATCATTTTTAAGCAAGAATCTAAAAATCATAATTAGAGTCTATCGTTATGTTCTGTCAAAACAATTAGAGGCCTCCAACATGGTCAAAGCCCTTCTGGTAATAAATCAGGAGGTATGAAATGAGGGTGGTGCACAACTTGCTGAACCTCAACATGTTTTACCACCTTCCTGAGAGAACAAAAAACTTCTTACAGATCACGAAGAGCTTAGTTGAAGTCAATGGTTCTCAATTTTGGTTTGGAAAACTTGCTCAATCAAGTGTTTAGAATCAGCCACGACAACAACAAAAAATTACGCTTGCTGACCTATAATCTAATTAAAACCACTAAGAGGAAGAACACTTCCTCTTATATAAAGTGTACAAATTTGCCAATGTTTCCCTGATTGATGCGCTATGATTCTAACTAGGATATAAATAAAAAGAGCCATTCAGGGAAATTCACACTATTTATGATGCATTAACAGAATGCTAATGTGTTTACAGTAATTTATAGAGAGTTTCTGATCCACCTAAGCTTACACACATGGACTGTAGCACACACATGGTGGGAGTTTTCTCCATTTCTTTTTCTTACACACTCAAAATTTGCTCCAGGTGGTCCCCAACTCTACTGAAATAGGCTATAGCTACATAGACTTAGGAGGGTGAAGAGGCACCTGTATTGCTAGTAATAGCATTCCATGACTGGATGATTACCACTGGACATAATACAAAGTTTTATATAGTATCCACTGGGCTATAAGGTATCAGTATATTTTATGCATTGAATTCCTGTGATGCAATTATAGAGTGCAACTCAGTTTAGAATACTGTATCATTTTAGAAGATATTTTCTTTTTAGGTGTACATTTGCCATAATAAAGCAAGGCCTTAAAAACTGTTGCCTAACAGAATATTGTTGAGTTTATTTCATTAATATATCACAAAAATCATACAACTCCTGGTAGGCTACAGTCAAAATACTTTAAAAAAATAAAGTATATCTCATGATTTTGACTCTTTTAATGGAGCATTTTTCCCTATTTTTTAACTAATTCAAAGAGTTTGCATCAACCAGTTCTTTATATAATGTGGGGTTAATATTATCAGATGTTATTTATTTTGGGAATATTGTAATTACAATATCGTAATTACAAAACTGTAATAATGTACTACAAGGCATAAGCCACTATTTCTACATATTTTGCTGCCCTCTAGCGGTCTACAAATGCTGCAAACTGGTAAGAAAATAAAACAGCAATGATTTATCCCAAAAATCCCATTAAAGAGAAATTATATTTTCAAAAATTCTGTAAATCATCACTGAAAATTTACCACCCTACTTCCAAAAGTATATTTTAATAGTTTTTTTTTAAACTTAAGTCTACCTATAAGTTATTCCAACTCAAGTTGTTAAGCCTGATGCTCCTTTGAACCACCCTCAAATGAGCAACCTACTTATGGTGGCTTCGTTAAATTCTTAATAACAAGAATATTTTCAATTTGCGGACCATCCATTTTGGAAAACATAATGAACTTCACTGACTAGAAGACAAAAAGTATTAAAAGCAAATGCTGTGAAACAGGAGTTTTGCAGTCAGCCAATTATTTTTTAAAATGATAATGTGGTGGAATGTAATAAGGAGGTTGATTCCCAGGAGGGAGGAGATGCATTCCAGAGGAGTAAGAGGCAATTCAGCCCAGATATTATGTGTAAGAAAAATAGGGTGAAGATAGCCTCTCTCTAAGAGTTCAGAGTATATTGTAGATGCAGGTAGTAGAGTGCTCAGTCTGGCAAAGTTTTGTCTAAAGATGTGAAACATTAAAGAACTCAGCTTGGAAGAATCACATGTCATTCTTGGCTTGGGGCCTGATTTTTAATACCTTTTAAGGAACCTACATATAGAAATGAAATATATGGTGGAATATAAAAATAAATAATTTTCTTAGATGAGTCAATTGATTGACTACATGCTATCAAATTGTTTTAGACTATGTAGTTGCTTGGAATTGAAAATAACTTGATGACATGTAATAAATCAATTAATTCATCTAAGAACATTCTTAACAGGACACAATTATTATCCTATTTGTTTTCAAATATATTATTTATGATTAATTAGTAGCTTCACTGCTAATAGTAACATCACATATTCTCTCAATTATTTAAAAAATATTTCCCCTCCAAAAAACAGTTTATATGGATGTGAAATCATCATTTGACAAATGAAAGAAATATGATGTTATAGGAATATCAAGATTCTTGCCTTTTCCTGGGTTGACTGCAGCAGGTAAACTGTCCCAGTCTAGGGTCCATTTAGGGCAAGGATGAGGAGAAAATATTGCTTCAATCCCTTTTTCCTGCATTTCAAAGAAAAGAAACCATCAATTCAGAAATCTGCTAGAAAGTTCAAAATTTCTTACAACAGGAACCAAAACATTCTCTGTTCAAAAATCATTCAGCTATGAGGTTACTCTTCAAATTATGTTTCTGCTTTACAAAGTTTACAAATTAAGTTTAAAAAAAAATTTTTTTCACTCAAGATAGAAATAATTATATAATTAAGCAAGTGATACATTTCTCCTCTTCAGTTATTGTACAAAATTACTATAATAAAGCAACAAACTTAATCTATTTTCTGGTTAAAGTTTCAATGTCATTGATGCAGAATACTTTTATTTTGCAGAGGATAACTTAAGAAAAAATTACAACCATTACAAACATGATAAAATATCATCAAACTATTTCCAAACTATTTTATCGGTAAGTTCTTCAAATATATGGAAATATTTTTATAGTTAATGTATCTAATCTAATAAAATAATTACCTACCATTAATTTTGTTATTGTTGGTCTTGGTCCACCTATAAACTGAATTTCCTCTTGAATGTTTTCTGACTCTTTAAAAGCTGTTGAAGTATTCTGCTGGCATTCATTTGGTAAAGGGTGTGATTGACAATTTAGGATATTTTTTATATTGCATTTGACAGTGGCTTGCTTTATTCCAGGTACATCTAGAACCCTTTTGTACCAGCTCAATATTAAAGGCAGCTGTAGTATGTTATTTTGGTGTTTCTTGCAGGCAGCCTTAAAGTGATAAATGAAAAGTTTATGTACCAATTTGATGTACAAAGAGTGCTTTTCCTACTAAATTTGCAAAACTCTTGGTTGGAATTATACTTATGCCTCACTAAATCATCCAATAATAATAATTCAACAATAATAATTCAAATACAATGATGGCTCGGTGGCACCAAAATTTTGTAGAGTTGTTTGCAAAAATGAGTCCAGTAAATGCATATTATTCATATAATAAACGTCATTACAAAAACCAATCCCAACCACAAAAAAATTTGCTCAAGACCAGACTTATCCATACTGCAAAGAATCCGCTCCCCTGAACTCTGCAAGGAACTCAAAAGATGTCTAGACAATGGAGAGAAGGATTTCTACATTGACTACCGCGCTGATTGTATCAAAAGTAAGTCACACAACCCACAACTCTACATCCAACCCTACCTCATCCAACCCACCATCACTCAAAACTAGGCACACATGCTCCTATCTCAATTCCAACTACAACTGGCCTTAATGCAAGCTACGCAATGAAAGAAGCCTTGTGAATAAAATACCTGAATTTCTCCTCTTACTAAATATGGCTAAATTCGACTTCATATTGGTCTGTGAAACATGGGTCAATGCATCCCTCCCTGACTCCATTACCACAGTAAGAGACTATCATGTTTACTGATCAGATCGTGAAATCGGTAGAAGAGGTGGTGTTGCTATGTTCTATAAAAAGTCCCTACATCTAAAAACCATCCAAGTTAGCCAGGAACTTGCTATCCCTGAGACCATAGTCTGTGAACTGTCCTTAAATATCACATTTCTATTCTTACTATGTTACAGAGCCCCTGATTATGACACTGAACATATAAACAAGTTAAATTCACTACTAACATGGGCAACATCCTGGCCACAAGCTTTTATCTTTCTTGGTGACATAAATCAACCTCACATTAACTGGACCCTAAATGAATGCATACCTGAACCCATACATGAAACCTTCTACAATGCTGTAACAAATCTGGGACTAGAACAACTAGTAACCAACAATACTAGACTTAACAACTGCCTCGATCTCATCTTCTCCAATAGTTTGAATTCAATTTATGGAATACAAATTAAAGAACTCCTTTCCAACAGTGACCACAGCATGATTAACTTTTGTCTCAACATAAGTCCATACAAAAATCAACACAACGATGTGATCCCCAATTATAACTTCAAAAAAGGCAACTATGATCTTATAGACAACGATCTCTCATCCCTTGATTGGCAATTTCTATTCACTGGATGCAATACTGTTGGAAGACCATTACAACATATTTTTACTTGAAGTCAAAAGAGTCATCAAACTATATGTACCAATAACAACTCCCAAAACCAGAAAAAACATAGTACCCATAACAATAAGGAAGCTTCAATCCAAAAAGAGATCACTTTGGCAGAAAAACAAATCTGGTCACGTTGCCAACTTCAAAAGCTGATACAAAAATTTATGCCACTCTACTAACTAGAGCATACAAAACATTTGCTACACCAATACTCGAATACAGCTCATCGGTTTGGAACCCACATTACGTATCTGATATTAACACAGTTGAGAAAGTCCAGAAATATTTAACAAGAAGAGTTCTCCACTCCTCTACTCGTTGCAGAATACCTTATGCCACCAGACTTGAAATTCTAGACCTAGAAAACCTAGAACTATGCCGCCTTTGGTCCGATCGAAGTATAGTATATAAAATCATACACTGCAATGTCCTACCAGTCAATGAATACTTCAGCTTCGACCATAACAACACAAGAGCAAACAATAGATACAAACTCAAGGTTAATCGCACCAGACTTGATTGCAGGAAATACGACTTCAGCAACAGAGTGGTAAATGTCTGGAATATTCTACCTGTCTCTGTGGTTTCTTCACCAAACCCCAAAAACTTTAACCTTAGACTGTCTACTATTGACCTCACCCCTTTCCTAAGAGGTCTGTAGGGGGCATGCATAAGCGCACCAACATGCGTCCCATCCCAGTCCTATTGTTTCTTTTATTTTTCTTATATGTATCCATGTATTCATAACTATGTTTTTACTTATACCTATTATCTTGTAAGCAATTGACAAACCAAATAAAATAAAAATAAAAAAAATAAAATTAATACTGTTCTTGAATAAGTGCTACTGAAAGGAATAAAACAGGCATCAATATTGGTTACTAACATATGAGAGTTCATTGGATGAAATGCTGTATGGTCTAAATAGTATGAATATTTTGACTTTTATTAAAAGCATGAAATACACAACTAAAATGAATGAACAAAAAACCCTTATTTGAAAATAAGTAGTCATAGGAATGTGTTTATGGGAAAGTTACACATGCATATTTACTGCCATGTATAAATTATGTGTTTTTTTAAAAGGCAACTGGACTGTCTTTCTTGAACTGAAGAAGCTTTTTGGATGAGAAGCAAAATGTCTTCAAAGCAAAACAAGAAAGTCCAGTTTGAAAAAGCACTTTTGGGACAACCATGCCCCGGATGACTGAGAATCTCCATAGACTTATAGGAAAATGTTCATCCGTGTAACTACTTATGACTACTTATAAAATATTAGAAGTTATAAATCCTGTTTATATAAGCTGTCCCAGGCAATTGTAGACAAAGAATCTAAAATTTAGATTTCCGTATATTGACCTGTGGAGTAACAGCAATTTCAAAAACACTTACTTTGAAGTTATATTTTAGTAGACTAGTATTTATCAGTCTTTACTTTCAGATGTGACTATATAGAGGGAAGACACTATCTAATGGGTAAAGATGAACAAATCTAGGTACAGGCTACAAAGTTTGAGTGCTTCCCAGCACTCATCATTGTTCAGCTTTTACTTTAAAAAAGTAGAAATAAATTATTCAGTCTTACCAAAAAATGATGGATGCATGGCAAGAGAACTATGTCTGTCAAAGTGAAATAAAGCCCTTCAGCAAATATATGCTCCAGAGGCGGAAGTTCAGATGTTTTTATTTTCCTAATGTGAGATGGCTCCCTGTTGGTAGCAAGTGGCATCTTCTGCAGAGTTAGTTTAGAGAAAGCTGTCCTCAGTTCCAAATCTGCAGAACCAGGTTCCTGATTTTCCACAGTCCTAGCTTCTTTTGAGGAAATATCAGTGCTTGCTGTCTTGTCAAGCATTTTTTGCTGTTGAACTTTCTGTCTTCTAATTTTGTCATCGTTGTGCACTCTTACAGGTTCTCCCAATTTGTTTTCAAACAGCAGTATCTCTTTGGGAATATTCTGATGCGGATTATGAGATACTTTTAGAAAGTTTTCAACTGCCAGAGGAATACTGATCTCACAAAGCCTGGTCCATTCACTAACCTAGAAATAGATAAGGTTGATGCAACAGTTAAAATGCTGGATTACAACTGAGAATATTCAGTTTCTACCTCACACTCAACTAAGTAAATTCAATAGGTGACTTTGGCATAGACATTCAATCCAACCTACTGAAAGGTATACAGGGTAAAATGAAGGGAGGTGTAAATCATGAGATCCTGAAAAAAAAATTGGATATATCATCATCATCATCATCTACCATCACCACCATCGATATTATAAAGAGACTGACCATGTAGCTGGGGATTAGTATGATAATAACAATCAATTGTAAAAAGTAAGCATTCTAACAAATTGATTGAAATGGCATACATAAATTATTTGTTTTTGAAGCTACAGAAATAAATCTCTACTCATATACACCGGATCAGATTCAACTGCTAGCATTGTATACCTAAAATAATTCCAAGTTTGTATTCCTCAAAAAATAGTTTTGGTTTTGCCATATAACAAACTATACTGGTCTCTTTGTTTAAATTTAAATTTAACACAAAAATAGTTTGTCGTGGAAGTGACTGCCTGTGAAGGCTCCTGGATTGGGGCAGAAAGGTAAAAGCAGAAGCAATATGCTTCGTCCCATATTTTGGTACACCAGGTTGCCTGACAGACCTGACTCACTGGAAAAAACACATACAACAAGCCGGTTTTGAAGACTTAAAATATAACGTTAAGTCTAATATTCAAAGAAAAACAGAATTTCAGGGGATATTCTATGATAGTATAGTTAATTATTTTATACAGCTTGTTTTAGACATCTATTGATGTGCTATATAGATATATCTTTTGCTTTTATGTAATAGAAAATAATTTAGAAATATATTTGATCTTCATTGCAAAGCACATTCAAGATTTAAGTAATAAACTCACTTCAGCACAAGCTTTCAAACAGGTCCTTTTAAAGCCCAAAAGTTCCAAAATGCCTTTGTTTGATGGATCCGCCTCATAGGTTTTCTGTACTATATACCTCAAAACCACAGCAAGTCCTGCACGACAAAATCTTCCATTCTTTTCAACAACAGCAGGTAAACAGCAGCTTTGAACCATCACAGGAATTTGAGATCTTTTGATGAAGTTAATCTCTGGGTTCTTTGACAATATTTCTTCTGTCTGTTGTACATCAAAAGTTATTTCATTTGGAGTTACTAAAAATATCCTGAAGATCTTACAATCACAATATGCCAACAAAAACAAGGATATAGATGTGTGCAGAGGGTGGATACAGTCTTCATTGTGACTGAAATAGTCTAGATATAGGTGGTCTTCATTTTCACTTTTCATTTTTTCCTTAAAGCAAGAAATGTAATTTAAAAAAACAAGAGGTAGAAAATTATGTTTACAAATCAATGTACTATATTCTACAATTAGAGACCTCATGGAAAATTTGAGAGGTTTTTTAGAACATATAAATTAGAATTGATTCATGCTATGTATGGACAGCAATCCAATGCTGAGTTCTCTTTTCTGAAACATTTAGGATTTTTTTTATTGCATCAATATAACACCATTACTGTGTGCTGTTCCATCCTTCATATTACTGATAACTATCATAATCAAATTTTAAAAACATGGATATATCCTTGCACATTTCTAGGAAGGTAGAAAACTCATTATTCAGTGGTGTATTAATATTTTACCACTTTCAAATGGTAATATTTTAACACTAGATGGCATACCTTCGAAACAATTTTAGTTTTAAGAATGTAAAATGCCATTATAACAAGGCCAGTTACCAGTTGAGGAATACATTTTATTCTTAAGATACTGTGAAGTTATTTATCAGCCAACCATATGGTATACTAATAAGGTATGAGAGGCATCACACCTATGTCTACACATTACTATTATAGTAATTATATTGTTTATATATTGCAAGAGCATCTCATTCAAGTGCTTTTGGCAATTTTACTATAGATAAGGAATTTACATCACCTGGGAGAATGGCCAGGATGGCTGTGATATGAGTATGATCAGCCACAAAAACACATGACTGATAGGTATACTTCTTTAAATTGAGATTATGATTTGAAAAACTGCTGAGCAGTACTTCACTATTTTTATTTTGTAAGAATATTCATGGAGCCTGAGGAGGAAGGAAGCATTTTTAGAAATAAATAGAATGGAACCCTAACTTCATGCCAAATTTATAGCAGCTTGCTATAATTAAGATATCAATAATTATTTAAAAATAATGTTTTAAAAATAAAATTGCCTAGAAGTAAAGGAATCACTGGTTTCAGAAGGGTATTTGCAGGTATACTGTGGTTGCTTATCCCAAACTATACAATACTTAAAACACTGTTCATAAAACATTCTTTAATTGTTTTTCAGAACTTCACTACATGATATTGCAATTTTAAGTACTTTAAGTCCCTATAAATATTACAGCACTTATTCATGAATAAATATGCCCAGAACTGAACAGATGAATAGCAACCCAAAGCATTTAAATTACACTAAATCAATGGAACACATTTTCAAGTAACATAAAGATGTAATACATAGGTACATGTTCTTAAAGCAGATCTCCATTATTGAATAGAATACTGTAAGAGATTCACTGATATAATTAGCAATATTAACACTAACCAGTTTCTACAAATATATTTTGAACTATAGTTTCATTATTGGTTTTTTTTCTTTTCTTGTTTAACATTGCATGCACTATGCAATTACAGTTTCTTCCCATTAAGGATATTATCATCTTACATCGATAGCTACAGCCCTAGAATAGAATAATTTATTGGCCAAGTGAAACACACAAGAAATTTGTTTTCGGTACATAAGCTCTTATTGTACATAAAGGTGAAAAATCATGATCATAGGCATCATAAAAATACATTCATCATAAATCATAAGATACAACACCTAGTGATAGTCATAGGATACTAAATAAGCAATCAACATAAATCATACTAGGAAACTAAATAAAACAATATAATTCGTAAAGGTATATGCAACAAAGTTATAATCATAAGTAGAAAAGGAGATAGGTAATAGGAAAGTTGAGAAAAATATTAATACAAAATATTAATACAACTAAATAGTTTAAGTGTTGTGGGACTTAGTTGCTGTACACTGCATAGCTTACCCCAATAAGAATGAACTCAGCCAATGAGATTTTAATTATTATTCTGGCAATTTTATGCTGTGTCCTCAGGAATTATCAGATGTGAATTTTAACCTTACTTCAATCTGAACCCACAATCTCATTTGGAAAGAAAAATACAGTATCTTCCTGAGTATTCTTAATCTTGGCTGATATGGAAAACAGGATCAGAGCCAGTCATTATCTGGATGGGTGACCACTAGGAAATCTTGCAACTATCAGATGCTAGACTAGAAAGAGCTTTTAAAAAAGAAAAGGTAGAACGCATGAGGTCTGCTCAAAGGAGTCATTACCTACATCACACACACACACAAACCCAGACGGCTATAGAAAGGAAATACTGTAGCCGCAGATAATTGAAAATAAGAAATTAGATTTTAAGTTCCATTTTATACTCCCACTAGCCTCAAACATGCAGACAACAAAGGAAATAAAACACATTCATGCTTCTTTTTATCAGGGATGGCAGAATTGATCCCGGTTGGGCAACCATCTGTCTGGAATGGTACACGGTCTCATGCGCGAGCAGGAGGTTGGACTAGAGGACCTCCGAGGTCCCTTCCCATCCTGTGACTCTCTTTTACATGGTTTTAAAAAGTATTTTATTATTATTATTATTATTCCGAATGACATGTGGCGATAGGCGGGGGTGTTCAGGTGTCCAGGAGCCTCTTAACCAAGCAGCCGTCCAGGCGCCCAGGCTCTTCAGTTCCCAACCCTGAACCGGGACGGAGTAGGGGCGGTGAAACGCCTCCCTCGCGCCGGGAATCCCTTACCTAACGGCTTCTCGTCCCTCCCGAAGCTCCACCCCTTCCTCCGCTTTGTCCGGGTTGGAGATCACCGCTTCCGGCGCCAGGACGAGGAAGTGCGGCCAGCCGGCATCGGCGGGGAGCTTCCCAAAGCGGTAACCTGCCGGAGGCGGACGAGCGCGGTTTTGGCGGGAAAAAAGAGGGCGGCCTTTGTAGCGTTCCCTTAAATCAGCGAAGCCTGAGGCGTTGGAGGGCTTAGGAGTAGCCGCAGGCGGGGGAACGGCGCGAAGTCTCGGTCCGCTTCTGCGGTCGCTGCCTCTGCCTTGTAATGAATGAAAATGGTTCTTTTTATTATTATTGCTACTGTTGTACCCGCGATGGGTAATGAACATGGCAGCAGAAAGGCGTGGAAAAAGGTCCCTTTTGGGGGAGATTGACAGGTGTCTGGGGATAAACCAAAGGTTATTTGGCCCTTATGAGAACAGTCTTATTGTGGTTTGTTGGGTATCTTGGGTCAATCCAGCCCTTTGTTTTATTAGACAGCGTTTCTGGCTTGGCACAAGAGGAAAATCCAGACCAGCTTTTAAGATGTATTATGGTTAACCAGGCTGGGAATCGGAAAGGGGAAATATCCCCCCACCCCAAATAGATATTATTATGAAATGAACAATGGTAATATTTCTATTATGGAATCTTAAGTGATGGTGAGATTAGCAAAATGTACAAATATATAAAGTGGCTGCAATTCCCTCAAACCATGAGCAATCCCACTTTTCAGAGTTTAGAACAAGTCAGGAGGGAACTGTCAAATTTCTGCTGTTCTGCAACTGAAACTTTTAAAAAGCTTAAGCATTCAGATTCTGCAGCAGTTCTAACCCCAAAACAGATGTAAGATAAAATGCATTGCAAGTGATTTTCTTTATGGCAAGACCAAGTGTATGTGCATATTTCACACTGATGAATGCATTGCTAACTCTAGCTCCCAGGTGAGTCTTCACTGAGGCTGTCTTAGCTTCTGAAATCAACATTGGGTTTCTTAAATTTATAAAATCAGAAATTGTATCTGAACTGAAGAATTACTTGCTTGCATTAGTTTAAGCTGTAAAAAGTAAAGTAATGGAAGAAACCTGTTTTTCTTCAAACCCACAACCTGGAATGATTTTACTAATGTAATTGTTTCCAAACTTTCTTAAAAAACATGTGAGATCTGAAGGCCAAATGCATATTTGAAATGGATATTTTCTTCTTTCTTTTTTAGTTAAAGATTCTACTATGGCTGCTACTGTGAATTTGGAACTTGACCCAGTATTCTTGAAAGCTCTGGGCTTCTTGCATTCAAAGAGCAAAGATTCTGCTGAAAAGTTAAAGGCACTTCTTGATGAATCTTTGTCTAGGGGCATTGATTCATGTTATCGTCCACAACAAAAGGTACTGAAATTTATGAATAAAATTATATGTATAGTGGCATATATTGTTACAATAAATGAGACCCATTGTGATTTAGCAGTTAAAGGTGCTAGACTAGAAGCAGGAGATTATTAGTTCTAATGCTACTTTAGACCTAAAGCCAGTTAGATGACTTTGAGCCAGTTATGTACTCTCAGCTGTAGGAAGGAGGAAATGACGAACCATTTTTGAAAATCCTTCAAGAAAACTGCAGAGACTAGTTCAGGAAGTCTCCAGGAATCAATATTGATTCAAAGATGGATAAATAACATGCCCTGTCCTATGCTATGTTTTCTTATCCTCCTGACTTTATTCAGAATATACTCTAGCCATGTTAAAGGACCTGGTTTAAGACAAATTATTCTAAATATGATAGGTCTATTTATTACCTATTTCAGAAGTTGATCTGGTTTACATATCACACTAATCCATTATTTTTTTAAATGTTAATTTGGAAAGTTCTCTGAACACAACAATTTTTATTTATCCATATACAGTATATCAGCCTTGTATTTGTGAGATGTGTTTATTATCTCCAGTTTTACTCTTAATGTAACATTTTGTGCATTTTTCAGGAAGTAGATCAGCCCAAAGTATCCATTCCAAAACCAGTTTCTGTTAAGACTGCTCCAAGCCTCCCTACAAGTAACAATAATGGGAAACCCACTGTAGTTGAAAAGGTGAAAAAAGAGGTGGAAAAGAGGATTGTGGATAAGGTAAGTTCCCTTGTTACACTTTGAACATTACATCCATTCCTTATTTAGTAACCTAGTTCCATTCCAGCAGTCAGGTTGTAAGCAGAATGGCTGCTAAGTGACCATGAGAGAGAGAGAGAGAAAATGCTATAAAGATCACTGGTTTCTGCCTCCTCGTTCATTTAAAGCTCTCTCACACACTTATGCCAGCATTACTCTCACTCTGTTGTTAGGCACCCAAAATGAGCATATTGGCCAGAAAATGATTTTTTATTACTGTTGTATTTGCAAATGGTCACTAAATGCTAAATAAGTGGGTATATTGAGGAAAGAGGTTCCAATAAAGTTACATATTTTAAAAAATAAAAATATTTTGCTACTTTCAATCAGAGGTTTTCAACCACTGTATCATGCACATTTGTGTGTCACAAAAAGTCCACAAGAGCACTTCAGTGAGCCAAAATATATAACTGGAAATGCTATGCACGGAGAATCCTGTTCCATGACATTACTGGGATGGACTCTCTATTTCACAACCTGGAAGTACTACCTATAAGATATGTGTATGAGATGAAAGAGACTGAAAACTACGGTACTGCTTTAAATATATATTTTTGTTTTGCAAACTATGTCATATGGAAACTATATTGTTCCCGTAAGTTATGTAACAATAGTTAATTTATTTCAGAAAAATAGAGTGTGCTTTCCTCTGCCAGTCATTTGGTTTTTAAAAGGTGTTCTTCTCCTTATCTACAAGTTATACTTTGTTCCTTTTCAATGATTAAGAGAACACGTTACTTTATTCAAACTGTGTTTGTTTAGACTTCTCTTGCAATTTCACTTTGTTATTTTAACAGCAGACTTTCAACTTAATAAAAGACTAATTAAATTATTTTGTCTAATATGTTGGTTCCTTGATTGGTATTAATCCAGGGTATTAATCCTGATGCTAATCTCTGCTTAAATGAGTGTTGATTGCTGGTGAAAAACTGCTGTGGTCTTGTAGCTTTCTGGCTGTCCCATTTGAATGATGTGTAGATGTAGTTTATTCCCATGTGCTTGTTGATAGCTGATTTGTCAGAGTGTCAGGCTTCCCAGAATTCTGTAGTGTTTTACACATAGTGGCACAGTGGCACTGTTGCAAGCCTTACACGGTATATTGTAAAATGACTTTTTGGGGGGGGCTGTTGGGTCTTTTGGATTCATCTATTATTAGCACCACATACATCTTCAGTTTTCCTTATCGGTGAGAGGGATGGCATATAAATTTAATAAATAAAAATAAATACTTGTACCCTTTTGTTCCTTTGTTATCAGCAGCTTTTTTTATCTTATATAGAATATTTTTCCTTCCCCTAAACAGAAATAATTACTTGTTACAAATATGTAACATATGTATTTGTTCAAAGTTTACATTTTGTTCGTTATGTAACTATCATTTGCTAGATAAAAGTGGAAATCATTGAAGGAGTTGAAGCAAAAAAACCAAGACTAGAAAAGCCAGAAGCTCATGCCTCATCAATCACAGTGCAGACAAGCAAGGATTTGCCCATGGCAGACCTTTCTAGTTTTGAAGAAACTAGTGCTGATGATTTTGCAATGGAGATGGGTCTGGCTTGTGTTGTTTGCAGGTAAGTTTTTTAAATTTAGTAGTTGTAGCATATATGAAGACCACAATTAAATATTAATTGTAAATTGAACCTTTTATCTACATAGAGAACTTGATTCCTTCAACCAGGGGTGTCAAATTGAAGGTCCATGGGCTGAATCCAGCCGGGGGGGGAGGGGGGTGCTTAAATCTGGCCTGTGGGGCTGGCATGGAAATATCAAAGGACTGGTCTGCGGGGAGGCCGTGTGCAGCTCCCGCACGGCCCATTTTTGGCCTCCCCGGCCTCCTGCAGCAATCTGCTGGCCGAAATGGGCTGCACAGGATTTTTTTCAGCTGGCAGAGGTCTGCAGGAGGCTGGGGAGGCCAAAAATGGGCCACACAGCAGCTGCACAGGGCCTCTACATGGCCTGTTTTTGGCTAGCAGAGGGCTGCAGGAGGACTGGACTGCAGGAGGACTGGATTACAATTATGTGGCCTCAAGTAAGTGCCTGATCTGGATAGAAAACAAGCAACATCCTATGTTAATATTGAGGTTTAATGCCAGATTTTACATACTGTAGGTCCGTTTAATCTACAATCAACAATCTATAATTGACAGCCATTTCTATTTACTATCCTGGAAATTTACCTCTGATGTTAGATCTTGTATTATCATATTATTTATGTTATTGTATTTTTATTTTTAGTTGAATAATAAAAATATAATAGTATAAATAGCTTTCTTGACTGGAAAAGCAATTTATTATTAAATTATAGGATATAAATTTAGAAATAAAAAGTTTAGTAGAGTATAAAGAATAAGTAATAAATGTTTGCCAGTAATACCTGGTAGAAGAGATAGGAAAATGGTTATAGTAAAAAACAATGGAAAGAAAGAATGGAAAGAAAAAAATGCATCTTGACCCTGTGACAAACGGCCACCATGGCCATGCCCACCTTTGGCCACACACCACCACCCAGCCCTCCAAGGTCAAACACAACCCTGATGCGGCCCTCAATGAAATTGAGTTTGACACCCATGCATTATGTGTATCTGCAGCACATTTGTTAGAAAAGGAGTGTTAAACTCGCAGCCTATGGGCTGGATGCATCATGTGCTGGCTCCACCCCTACCCAGTTTAGCAAAGGAGAAAAAAGTCCCAATACGTCATATGACGCCACCGTGATGCCATGAGTTTGATACCCCTGAATATCTTCTGATATTCACCTTCCATGGCAGTGAGATTATAAATACAATACTTACCAAAAGGTAACGTTTATACATAGAAAGGTATCTAAATCCTAACTTATATTTTAACTTGTCTTCAGGATTTATGACCATTTTAATTGTGTCCATTTGAAAGGCAACTTTAAAAATGTCTTGAGATTTTCTTTATATTCCATTTATTTTTTAAGTTTGTAAAAATTATCCTTTATATTATTCCCTTCTATTATGTTACTGGGAAATAACCACTCTTTCTGATTCAATTAATTTTGAAAAATCTTCAGTAATATTTTGAATCTTAGTTCATGTTCTTAAGATAGATTACTGCAGAATCAAAGCTGCTTACTCCTGAGTAAAGTTCCATAGAATCACATACTACATGGGATTTTTTTTGGGGTGGTGGTGGTCTTATTTTGGTTTTTATAGCAGCAAAATGTTCCCAAAGCCATATATGCAGTATGCTGATTCTAATTTTCCTATTAAATTTTTAAAAAAATCTTTTTACATAGTCTTCTGCAAATAGTTTCCATGGTTACCTATGTACCTGTCCAATGGGGATATATACAAAAGCAACCTAGTAATTAAGTAACCTGATTTGTTTTCTAAAAATAATAGTCATTAGGGAAATGGTGTTTTGCTAATCTGGTTAAGATACATTTCCGTTCCTATATATGATTAATATCATAACAGTAGAATAAAATTTAATGCATGATTTTCCTACTAATCTTCTACATACTTATCTGATGTATCCTTACTCTTATAATTTAAAGACCTAACTTTTCTTGTGATTCAGTAGGTAATTATAAACTATATTCTAGTTATGTTTATTGTATAAGTTGAAGGAATATGATTTGGACAATGTCATTGCACATTTTAACATTTAGAATTTCCCATTAAATATATATTGGGATTCATTTCCTTTTTGAATTAATCTGGACTTGGGAGAATGGTCACTTTGATTTTGTTGACATTCAGTCATTGACCATTCTAGCTGAGACAACTGGAATTGCAGGTCAGCAACATTTAGAGAGCAACAACTTTTTATGCATCTGCTTTAAGTTAAAATCTTTGGCTTACGATTTTGTTGACAATTTTGGTCTGTTTTTCTTTTGCATATAACTAAGATAGGAAGAGAAGAGCATATTTTCCCTCTTATCTACCAGGTTTTTTGTGCCGTTTGTTCCCTTGCAGCTTTCATATATGCTTAAGAGGAAGAAGCTCAGAGTCATTATGAACTACAAGATAGGTGGCATATAAATGTAATAAATAAAATTCCAAAATAGCATGATGAATTTTGGTAACTGTAATGTTGCTTTTACCCGTAAACATTAGATTATATGTTGACAGATAATAAACATTATACCCATTGATAAATGTATGGTAGACCATTGGTTGAAAGAACTGGGCCTAGGCTTACAGATTTGTTATATGGAGTTGGAAAACACTAATTTGGCCTCCATTACTCACCCTATACATATCTGTCCATCTTTTTGAGTTTCACGCTTGTGACCTTGTAGCTACTCTTAATTCTCTATAGCTAAAGATACAGAATCAAAGAACCGTAGGGCTGGAAGCTTGGAGGTCTTCTAATTCAACTCTCTGCCCAAGGCAGGAGACCTTTGCATCCCGGACAAATGGCTGTCCAATCTTGAAGACCTCCTGCGATGGAGCACTCACAACCCCAGGACGAAGCAGTTTCACTGATTTATTATTCTCCCTGTCTGGAAATGTCTCCTTAGTTCCAGATTGGATCTTTCTTTAATGAGCTTCCACCCATTGTGTCTTGCCCTGACCTCAGGTGCTTAGGAGAATAGGTCAATCTACTCCTCCCTATGACAGTTCCTCAAATATCGAGACACAGCTATTCCATCATATCTAATATTTCTCTTTGTTAGACTAGACATGCCTAGTTCCTAGTTCCCATCATATAGTTTAGCCTCCAGACCTCTTATTATACTCATTGCTTTTCTCTGAAGTCTTTCTAGAGCCTCAGCATCTTTTTTGTACTGTAGCAACCAGAATTGGTTGCAGCATTCCAAGTGTGGTCTCACTAGTGGAGTATATAATAATACTATCACTTTTTGGTAATCTTGATGCTATCCCTCTATACCAACAAATTTGTAAAAATATGATGTTTCAAGAGATTGTTTGAAGAAATGATGTTTAATTGACTACTTTGTGTTTTATAGACAAATAACTGTGACTTCTGGAAATCCATTAGTGGAATGCCAGGAATGTCATAACCTCTATCACCAAGACTGCCACAAACCTCAAGTGACAGACAAGGAAATGAATGATCCACGGGTAGTGTGGTATTGTGCAAGATGTACCAGGCAAATTAAAAAAATGGTAATTTTTTTTCTATATCTGTGAAGAAATATTAATTTAACTATTTAAGGAAGAGATTCCTTAATTGACTAGAAAATGAAGATTAGAAAGAAGAATAGCTTGCTTTAATAAATTAGGCTGACAGCTACAGGGATCTTTTCTTTACTAAGGATATTTTATTATAAAATAAAAAATATTCTTAGAATGTTTTGAAATATGTTGTTTTGATTTTAAGCTGCTGTTGTTTTGATTTTAATAGTTTAATACCATCTTTACAAAAATAGTTATAGCAATAATATTTTTAAAAAATAATTAAAGTGATAATTATACTGAAAAAAATAATTCCTCTCAAAAAGTTTGTACTAAATCTGATTTACCAAACCATGTTCTTAAACCCAGTAATGATGATAATTTTGTAAACTATTTTAATAAAAGACTGATGTTTATTAGATCAGATTAAGAATATTTAAATCTCATAACAAATGAGGTACTTTCCTATATTGATTTTCCCGAAAAGGCTTTATTTTGATGCAAGGTTGTTATTATACTTGTATCAGTAAAATTAAGATATAAGAAGAACCATTATATTATTAGTGAAAATACAGTATATTTTTTTTTTAAAAAAATAAAAATATTATGAGAAAATTTTCCAAAGGAGAGATGAACTCTTATATCTTCATTTGGAATAATGTCATGCAGAATATTTTGTCTAATCAGGTCTAGATTTTTTAAAAACATACAATAATTCCCCCTGTCCTCCTACCATCAATATTCTACCAGCTAATAAAATATTGTTCAATTATGAAAATTTTATAAGGTCTCAAGTAGGTGTCTGGAATTAATAGTTTAAAAACTAGGTATACTGTAGGTTCATATTCCACTTTCTCTTCTGTTTTATCACAAGAAAATAGTGACCTTTGCATATTATGTAGTCAGCACCAAAAGTAAATTTAATTGAATCCATCCTAATTCTAGTTTTGAATCCACCTTGCACAATTCTTCAGTTTTCTTTTTTCATTCCCATTTCTTCTGCCATTTTGTCAATTGATGAAATTTTATTAAATTTTAAATGTTTATTTCCATACATGTAAATTTAAATATGTACATTAGATATATAAATTAGCAGCTGCCTAGTTGTATGAAATATGTTGATAAATAAATATTGTAATAAATAGTTGTTATAGTAATACAAGTGCCAGTTTATTCTAATGGTTAAGGCGTTAGGCTAGATTTCCAGTCCCGCTTGAATGTGGCTGGCTGATTTTGGGCCAGTCATTCTCTCTCTGCCCACGTCAGACTTGAGCCACAAGTTGATCGGTCAATTCCTGTCATAACAAATGGATCAACACTTGATTAAAAAAATGGACCTTGCACTTTGGGAGAAATTCTCTGAAGAAGAAAAAAGTATGCCATGTTTCTCACAAATTAAGGTTCGGGCTGGAGGGACTTGGGAAGTGAAGCTTGGGTCGGCCCGGCTCTTTGGCTTGGCAGGCAGGCGCGTACCTGCGGCTCACTTTCCCGGCTCTGCCCAACCCACTTGGCTCCGGTGCGGCCTTGGTGAGATGAGCAGAGGGCCTGGCGGGGAGGCGCTCGCTGCCTTGGCGAGAGCTCCGCTGCCGGGCAGGAGGGCCCACCTGTCAGTTGCGCTGGGCGCCCCAGGTGAAGCTCTTTGTGCTCTGCCCAGCGCCAGGCAGGGATGGCAGCTGGGCGCTTCTCCTGGGGTGGGCCGATCCTGCACTGTGGCCCCGGGAGATACGTCTCCCCATGTGGGGTTGGGCTGCCCTCTCAGGCAGGGGAGGTTTTGTCGTACCGGTAGTAGGGCGTCATTTTTAAAAGAATGGGCTTTGCCTTCGAACAATGCCCGGGAAGGTGGTGACAGGAGCGCCTGAAGCTGAGTGTCTCTGCCGGGCTCCGGTTGCAGGGAGGAGCCCTGGCTGGCCGCATGTGGCTGTGCCAAACACCGCATGTTTGCGCCAAACTCCGTGTGGCTGCGCCAAAGGCTGTGGCAGCACGGGGAGAAGGGAAAGCAACAGTGGTGGAAGGTCTCCCGATACGAAGTGCCCCACCAACGCCGAGGTCAATGCAGGCAGCACCCTATCTGGGTATGCAACAAAAGTACTTCCTAATGGCAAGCCCCCCCTGCCATTCCCCCCCCATTTTGCATGTTTAATATAGGCCTTAATTTGGGGGGAGGGGCTTAATTTCATTTTATGTCTCTAAAACATGCTGGGACTTCCTATTGGGGGAGGCCGTATTGTTGGAGAAACACGGTAGTAGCAATACATTAGGTCATTATCTAAGATCTCCTGCACACCTGTTATGTGCCTTGATTGTGATTTCCCAATGTTAGCTACCATAATGTTTAGTAAATAGTAGTTTTAAAGCAGAAAGCTATTTTTTTATTTTAACATTTTTTTCATGTATACAATATGTAATTTACACAGGCTCAGAAAACACAGAAGCCTTCCCAGAAGCCAGCTCCTGCTGTAGTGTCAGTAGCTCCAGCTGTGAAAGATCCACTAATAAAGAAACCAGAAATTAAGCAAAAATTGGAGACTACACCAGCCTTCCTGGCATTTAAGAGGACAGAGGTCAAGGTACTGTACAGAATGTACTGTGAAATATTGATAGTTTTATTGAATTTATAGGTATGTTTTTAGTTTAATTTTGTTTTGTTTTTTTATGGGAAGTGTTTTGTTTTGGTAATGTTCCTAACCTCATAATATACTCAACTTTCATTTAGAAATCCACGTTACATATTTTTATTCTTAATTTTGTTCCATTTTGTTACTGATTTTGAATAAATTGCATAATTTAAATAACATTATCAATAAAATTACATTTAATAAGATTTTGTATTTCAATTTAAAAACAGAATATTATAGGTTATTTTCAGATATAGCTATATTTATTTCTAGATTTAGATAGGATATAGTAGTAATGTATCTCTGTAAGTTTGTAATTGTTCTTTCTTTGCATTCAGATTAAAGACTGTAGCAACAAGTTTATTTATAGGGAAAATCACATTTTTATACCCAAAAGTTGTATAAAGTAAAATAATAGTTTTAACAATAAAAATGTTAAAATGTTTGTCTTTTACTACAGTATTAGTTACAGAGTGAAAAAAAAAAGATTACAAAAGAAAATAACTAACAAAGTTTGTGCTAAAGTTAAGGTAGTTCTTGACTTATGACCATTTAATGACAGTTTGAAGTTATGACAGTCTATCCTCAAAATTACAATCGTTGCAGCACCCCCATCAAATAAGCAAGGTCAAATGGAGAAGCTGGATTTGTTTAATAACCACATGATTTACTTGATGACAATGATAAAAATAGTGGTAAAATCAGATCCAGTTGCGATGACTCAGTTGATGACTGCATCACTTAGAAACTGAAATTCCACTCCCAATTGTGGTTGTAAGTCAAGGACTACCTATATTTGCTTCTGGTATTGCAATTTAGGAGCTTCTAGACAAATCCCAGGGCCCTTAAGCTTCTTGAAAGTTTGGAAATATCACTGGCCTCCAAAAATGCAGAACCAAAATTAACATGTTACTTAGGTCAGGGGTGTCAAACCGGGGCCCTGTGGGCCAGATACATCACACGCAGGCCACACCCACCTCAGTTCCATTAATGGGAAAAAGTCACAAAACGTCACATGACAGCAATATGATGCCGCGGGTTTGACACCAGTGCTTTAGATTTTAAAAAACCCAATAGTATTTTAAACTAATTAATATTCAGGACACATGGTTGAATATTCTACGAGTTGTTTTATATTTGTAATAGATAAGAGAATTCTGAATCAGTTTGTCAGGATTCTGCCCTTCTCATCAGAATCAAAAAGCACAATCCATCTTTTCATCTTGTGCCATTCAGAAAACATTGCTTGCCTTCACGCAGTCTTAGCAATTTTAATGAGGCTTATGCAGCACTATTTGTGGTTGACTGTGTCAAACAATTTCAAATAACTGTGATGGAAACCGATACATATACTATGGAAATCTGTGTACTATAGTAACCTATACATGTACTATTAACATGCCCTATTCTAAATGCCTAAACCATTGTTAACTTTTGTCCCAATTATATTTTTGAGATCCTCCATTTATTTTCATGTTAAAAATATTTTTTGATTTAAAAAAAAACAGGTATGGATCCAGCAAGTTTTCTTACTTGAATAATTCTGAGGTTTTTGGCATATGAGGATGGATCATTGAGCTATTTACTGTATATTGTACATTCAAGAAAAAAGTTGAAGCTATTGTTATGGTTGGCCTGGAACAATGTGAAGACATTAATGTGCTTCCTTTTGTATTCTGATACTTTGAATAAATATTAGAGTCCACTGAGTTTTTCATCTAATAATGATAGAAAGATAAATGTTTGGCCCTTTTACTTTGCAAGCTGATCTCTGCTGAAATACATGTAAGGTAACACTTGTTTCTATTTGATTTTAGACTTCGGCAACAATGTCAGGGAACTCAACCACCGCCAGTGTTTCCTCCTCCTCAAACAGTGGCCTTACAGGATGGGCAGCTTTTGCAGCAAAGACATCTTCTGCAGGCCCATCAACAGCTAAGATGGGGTCTGCCACCCAGAGTACCAGTGGCAAGCCTGTCACTGGCTCAAACAATCAGAAACCCGCTGGTTTGTCAGGGCTGGCCACAACCAAAGGCGTTGGGTCAAAAATAACATCTGCCAATAGCACAAGCCCTGGCCAGTTGAAGCCACTACCACCTCTGACATTGGGGAAAATTGGTCTCTCTCGGTCTGTGAGCAGTGACAACGTAAGCAAAATAGGCCTTCCTAATGCAGGTAGTTCAACCCCAGGCAACAGCCCAACTCTTGGTGGAAATGGCAGCAGTGTGGCAGCAGGGAGCAGCGCTAGCAAATCAAGTTCAGAATCGGGCAACCAGTCCCCATCGCTGAAAGGTCCAACTTCACAAGAATCACAGCTCAATGCCATGAAGAGGTTACAGATGGTCAAAAAGAAAGCAGCTCAGAAGAAGCTAAAAAAATAGCAGGTCTATCTTTAAAACAAGAGATAATGCTATCATTAGTTTTAATCTGCAAAGTGCCAGATACTGTAAAATCAATGATATATCAATTACTGTTGTTTTCATTTGGCACCCTTGTGTGTACTCACAAGAATTCACAAGAATTCATATATTAGTAAAAAGTCCCATTGGCTGAAAAGCTGCCTTATTTGTATCTTTCTCATTAAATTAAAACTACAAAAATCCAGATGGCTACTAGAGTTTGTAGTCCAGGCACCATAGCTCTAATTAAATACAGTTATTAAATACAACTTAACAATATTGATCCTTTTAAAATATATTTGATGCTTTACTCTTCTCCAAAACCATTATGAATGCTAAGAAATTTGTGTGTGTTAGGGGGGTGTTTGTCTACAATGGTGCTATATTAGCTGCATTTGCCATTTCCAGTGGAATAAACAAGGTTGTGTATTAGTCCCAATCCTACTCAGTCTGTTCTTCATTTGATGTTGTCACATGCTGTCCAGGGTCTGAAGGAGGGAGTGTATGTATATCAGGTTGGAAAACTTCCTCTTTTGACCTATGCCACTTGAATGCAAACCTATGCCGCCTGAGTGATTCTGTAGGGTCATTCAAGGAATCCTCTTCATTGATGACCGTACACTCCTTGTCCTGGGGCAGAAGGACAGTAATCCTGAACAAATTCTCAGATGCTGCTTTGGCCTGAGAAAGACTGAAATACTGATCAGCCTATGCCAAATCCCAAGACTATAGAACCACTGTTGATAACACTTAGTTGACAAATGTAAACAACTTCAAATATACTTTGCAAACATCATCTCAAGTGAAGGGTCTTTGAACAAAGAAATTGAAATCGGGATCAACAAGGCAAGGCAAGCACTAGGGTGGCTGACACCAATGTATCAACACAACATCCATTTCTCCAGAACGCTGAAAGTCTTCAGAGCTGTGGTCATCCCTTCTCTCCTAGGAGGATGAGTACTGGACTCTACTGAAGGAACAGCAGACATTTCACATGTGTGCTCCATCCTTGACATTTGCTGGCAAGACCATGTCCTATTTTGCAATTTATATCCAATCTTTTAAGTTACACTTCTTTCTGAAGAATATCTCCCATATTATTGCATATACAGTCTCCAAAATCTCTCTTCTCTTGTGCTCTATAGAAGTCAGGTAAGCTGATGTTTTCAATCTATTTGAAATGTAAACTTTAGCCAATATCACCAACTGTAAATTCTAGAAATTTATTCAAAATAGCTTACCAACTCTTTGGTCGCGTGAAATAAAGTTTCACTGTACAATATTTTTAGTCACTTGCACAATTCAGGTACTTCTGGATGGCAGATCATGTTAATGATTTTATATGTAAAATATTTCGAAAGGAAGTGATTCTATTCATCATAAAAAAAAAAGATTGGGCAAGGCAGGAGTACCCAATTTAGGGGCTACCTCACTAAGCTGCATCAATTGCAAAAAGCAGAATTAAAGCAATATTTACTTCTGGCTTTCTTTACTATTCATAGAAAGGCAGGAAACATTTAGAACTTTGGAGTGATGCTTATGGTAATAGAAAAATCAGTGCTGATGCATTTTAGTCACACAATTGCAAAGTAAAAAAAAAGCTTTTTGTACCACACAAATAAGGTGTAGATGTCTCTGGAAATCAGAGAAAGCAATAGAAAGATCAATTGTGGCATATTTGTCACCTTATTATATGAGGGGTGACTGAAAAAGTCTCATTGCTGATAACCCAGCAATGAAATATCTGAGACTGACATGAATGAATGCAAATATACATGTCTCAGGTCAATGTTGCAGGAGCCAATCTGGGTTGCTCATTGGGACCAGAGATGTACTCTTCCAAGTTTTCGGCCTCATGCTGGACATTGAGACTGATTCTAAAAACCGTTTGTAAACTTACAGGATTGATCCTAGAGACCATTTATAAAGAGTTCCTCAAACTCTACTGACATATACTTCACTAGTTCCTAATACATGGGAAACAGCATCAGATTTAGTGACTTTTATATTTTTATTTTTAAATGATTTGGAAATTGCCTAGGAGGATATCATTTATCATGAATTAAGGCAAATACAATATATGTGACTGCTGTCCCACTCACTCTCACACAAGTAACCAGTTTAATGAATTTATTATTTCCAAGCAATTCCCTTCATTAAAAACCCAGAACTGTCCCAATTAAGTCCAGCCACAAGCAGACCAATGCTAATCCATGGAGCAATGGCCAAAGAGTCCACAAGACACTTGAAAGTTTCTCAAGCAAAGCCACCCAGCAAATTTAAATCCACAACACAAGGCAGGTCACAAGGCAAGAAAAGTCCAGAGTTTCCAAGGCAAGATCCAAGTCAAGGCATGGTGTCAAACCAAAGTGAGGCAGGAATCAATGACCAGAAAACACACACCTAGGAAACAAATGTTCCCAGCATCGCCTCCATCTATCTGCTGTGCTAAATAGCCCACTTTCAGTGCAGTGCATCTGGCTGACCTCTGCTCCTGCCTTTTCTCTGCCCTATGTGTTTTTGGATCATGCGCAGAAGGCAGCTCCTCTTCCTCATCACTGACCAGCTGCAGCTGCTTGCCTTCCCCAACTGGAGCCTCAGGATTGTTCTGTTGCAGCTGTTATTCAGCCAAATCCAGCACAGACAGCGGCTTGGAGCCATCAATCAACTTGGCTCCTGCCATGCCAGGAACTGTTTCATCCTCCCCCAAGCTGACATCTAGAGATGTATCTAGGGAAGCATCTGGGGGAATCATTAGTGTCCCAGAGAATGTTGCAGGATCTAATCTGAGTTGGTCACCAGGACCGGAGGTTTTTTCTTCTGAGCTTTTGCACTTGTGCTGGAGCCCAACCTCAGGGAGGTTCTCTGTGATAAGCTCAGAAAACAAAACCTCTGGTCCTGGTGACCAGCCCAGATTGGATCCTGGATATCATTTATGGGTATATTGTATTAATTCAGGAGTTCACCCGCATGGTTTGGGGCAATACAATATTGAATTAATTTAGACATCTGGTTTAAAGAAAATATTGAGATTTCATTCTAATGACTGTCTTGATCCGGTGCTCCAGAACTTTGGTTCCCGGGGCACCTAAGTTTGCTTCATCATCACCAACTCTATCCTGTTACTCGCTCTTGGGGAACATGTCCTCTGTGCCATTGCAGAGGAGGTAGACACAGTATAAACTTACAGATGCTTCATTGGAAGCGAGCACTGCTAAATATTGTGGGATTTATCCTTAAAATACAATTCTGAAACAAGAAATGGATCCCATTTCTTATAAAGCATAATTCCTGATAAGTGTATACAGAATTGTATTTATCTCTCCATTGAGACTAACAGCTGTCACTTAAAATAAGTTTCAGGAGGTATTTTCAGCAGAGCTACAATTCTGAGATTACAATTCTTAATCTGAGATTAAGAAATAATATTCTATTGAAAGGTCAGCAAAAAGTGCATTCGGTTCTTGAAATCTTTACAAACTTGGAACTAGAAATGTCTTGTGTAACCAAAAAGGCACTTCCATGTGCAACAAATCTCCAGTGAATTTTCTCAACATCTCTGTACTACTTCAGTTCCTTACACCCGAGTCTAAACTGTTTCTAAGAACATTCTATGGACAATGCAGGTTCTTGCCCAAACCTGGTTAATTCACAAATCTACAAAAGTTAAACTTATAGCTGGCATAGTTGTGTTAGGCTTTCACAGCAAAGACCAACAAGACATTTTGTGACACCTAAAGGACCAACTAGATCAAGGATCTTCAAACTTGGCAAGTTTAAGACTTGTGGACTTCAATTCCTAGAATTCCTGATCTAACATGACTGGAAGATGAATTCTGGGAGTTGAAGTTCACAAGTCTTAAACTTGCCAAGTTTGAAGACCCCTGAACTAGATTATTATGTCATGAGATTTTTATGTCATGAGATGTTATAGGTGATTTAGCTCAGCGATCCCCAACCTTTGCAGTTTGGCAGCCCAGCTGGGCGGTGACAGCCCACATAAATAGTGGGCTAACATGCACACACAGCTCAACTTGCATGAGCGACAGGCCAGCACGCAAGTGCAGACACACACTCTACTTGCACAATCAAGCGCTCGCATGGCCCAGTTCCAAATAGACCACGGCCTGGGGTTTGGGGACCTCTGGATGAGTTCAATATAATTAAACGCCTCAGAAATCTGTGGAAGGCATTACGAGAGTTCTTTTCCAGTCCAGTGTGACAAAAGTTTAAAAGTAAAAGCAAATATACCTATTCCATCAAAAATTCTTCTTCACAAGTACTTCAATTCCGGATTTTAGAAGCTCTTAGCTTATTGCATTTTTTTAAGGCACAAAAATTCATGGGTGATAATATCACAATATCACTTCTGGCTCTGAGAATTTATTCCGTAAACTAAATCTGATATTTATGTGTATGTCATCTTTCCAAGATAATTAGCTGGCACATATCCTTTTTGTCCTTCAGCTTCAGCTAACCACCATTCTTTATTGCCACTTAGGTCCGAAAAACGAAGGATTTGAACTCGCTGATATTCGTGAAGACTGAGTTCCTGCTTACTCCTTGCTTGAAATGCATGAACAGCATAGAAAGTCTAAGAGATAGGAAACATAAAAGAGAGAGAGAGAGAGAGAATGAATGTTCAATCCTGCTCCCTATTTCAGTGAAAAACTGGGGGAAAAGCACCCAACCAAATCAATTCAGCTAATCAAGCAACATCCGACTATGCTTGTTTCATTAAAAGAAACTTGGGTCAGATTTGGAATAATGTATTTGAGTAATGTCACTAATATTAGTCCCAAATCCCTACACTTACAAACTCTATACTTATTTCTCAATGAGATAAGCATGAAACAGTGGCGGGATTCAAATTGTTTTACCGCCGGTTCGGTGGGCATGGCTTGGTGGGCGTGGCTTAGTGGGGCCTAAGTTGGCGCACAGCTTTCCCCACACCAGCTGGGACCTGCAGCACCAATCAACTGAGAGGATAAAGAAGAGAAAAGTGCAGGAGCAGGTGGAAGGGCAGATTGCAGTTTTCTCTTCTTTTTCCTCTCAGCTGATTGTCCCAGGATTTTTTAACTCCTCTCAGCTGATCGTCGGGCTTTTTTTTACTACCAGGTCAGCAGAACCGGTCTGAACCTGTAGCATACTACCACTGGTATGAAGCCATGAAATAGTGGCATATTAAAGTTACCTCCTGGGTCTTTGAATACTTGTCTTGATAAACACTGAGCACCATGTAATATGACGTGCTCTGACTTAAATTAATCTAGCAGCAGTACAGCTCTAGATTTGGGAAAAAACAAGACCTAGACCACATGTTTTAAGTAGGGCTACTTATTCACCTTTGTCATAACTGATCATTTGCACATCTTCCTTCTCTGAGACCAGACAATACAAAAATAGAGTTGGCAAGATTAGTAGATGCTGCAATTCATTTTTCTGGAGAAGAAAAATGAATAGGCAGCTACAGTTAGAAAGCGGTGACCAGCAACCAACTCAGCCCTGAATTCATCCCCTCTCCTTTTTTGTATAAAAGGACTGGTCATGAAACCATGCTTACGTGTTGCTCATCTGTTTCACAAAAGCTGTCCCATTCTGAGCCATTCACAGATTCTTTTTCACCCAGGCTATTATAGGAAGAGTCACTGCCACTTCTTTTGTGTCCTGTGGGTTTTGTACTGTTGTCATCCGATTGTCGTGAAGAGATAAAAAGGCTGATATTATCAAAGTCACCATCACAGAAATGGATTTCCCCAGGATTTTTTGGTGCCTTGGCCGGTTTATAGGGTTTCAGGAAGGAAGAATAAACGTATCCTTTAAGAACTATATGTAGGGAAGGGGGAAAAAAAGGCCAAGAGTATCAAAAGGTTGGGTTTTTTATTTTATTGTAAGAACCTTAAACTACTGCAAGTTAAAAGAGAAAAACAGAGAGACATTGCGATCTGAAAACCCAGTGAAAGTTGGAGGAGTCATGAAAATGCTCCAGATTGCAAACTATACAATCTAATTAACATTATACTGTCAATTGTGTTTTGTTTTGTTCCATTTTGGCAAGTCCTTATCCCATATCAGCATTCAGGTAACCTAGGCTTAGTACTTGTGATGCAAACTCTGACATGTTCACTAGACTGGTTAGAATACTTTCCCCAAATTCTACAAGGGGCTGCCATAGAGTTAGAGAGAAGGCAATCTCTCTAAGGATGGGCAAGAACCAGTCATAAATGCTGCATCAGTTTCTATGGATTGCCTTCTGGTTAAGTCAGGAAATTTCACATATCTCTCAAATCAGTGACTTCCAGGAAGTAGACGTTCATGAATCTTAAAGTTGCAGGAGATGAGAAATATGGCTCTAGAGCAGGGGTGTCAAACTCGATTTCATTGAGGGCCACATTAGGGTTGTGTTTGACCTTGGGGTGCCAGGGTGGGTACGGCCAAGATGCAGTTGCTCATGTCAGGGGGGAGGTACCTGTGATGGTTCAAGTGCTCTGCCAGAGAAAACAGGCTCCTGAGCTTTGTTTTCAGCTGTGACGGCCTCCTGCAACTCTCTGCCAGCAAAGACAAAGCTCGGAGGGAGGGGCAAACACAGCCCTTGCAAGCTCCATTTTGGGATGAGAGGGGTACCACAGGCTGGTCCTTTGCGGTTACCAAGGCGGCCCCATGGGCCAAACCTAAGTACCCCGTGGGACGGATCCAGCCTCCAGGCCTTGACTTTGACACCTCTATTCTAGAGAGCTGAATACTTTGAAAAATTCCAAATGCATGTTGAACTGGATTCAGAAGGATTGGAAGATAGCTAAGATGATTTAAACACCTTATTTTGTTTTAATGTATTTCATTATTGGCCATTCACTTTCACTGGACAGATGGATAGCCCAAACAAACAAGATTATTATTTAAGTCAAAAACCCATAGCCATTTAGGAATATCAATATAGAAATGAAAATAATAAGACTTGAAACAGTGATTAAATGCAAGTGTCCATTAACCCCTGGACACTTCCTATAAGCCAGTGGTGGCTAACCTTTTTGGGCTCCCCTGCCAATAATTGCACATGTGCTTGTATGCTTGTGGTTGCATGCCATCACCCAGAAGACAATGTGTGCGGGTGCCCCGTACCTCCTGCGCATGAATGCGCTATCCGCGCAACCCACGCTGTGTGCTTCTCTGCATGCATATGCAACCCATGCAACCCACACTGCATGCTTCTGTGCATAGGTGCGTGACTCCCCTACGCGAGCCATGTGCTTCTACACATGCGCGAGTGTCTCCTGCTCACTGCTGCACCCCTGCACATGCGTGCCAGATACCCGACAATCAGCTGGCGGGTGGGCAACGTGCACCCATGCGCAGTAGACCTTTTCTGGGCGAGTGCTCGCTGCCGGCAGCAATGGCTCTGTGTGCCACTTCTGGCACACGTGCCATAGGTTCGCTACCACAGCTATAAGCTATAAAATTCATCTAAAGCCAAGAAGGCAATGTTAAAGGTCAAGTCTCTGCAACTAGGGTACATCTAGGCTCAGGGTCAGGGGTGGGATCTGACAGGGTTAACTACCGGTTCGGTGATTTACAAGGTTCAGTGATTTATGAGGTTTGGTGATTTACGATGTGCTTCCTTGCACGCTATGCGGGCGCACCTGTAAATTGTCATCAGCACACTGCATGCAGAGAAGCAGCTTTTCAAAAAGCACTTTTTTCCTGCTTTTTAAACTGCAGCTGTGCCTCACACAGCAGCTGAAGTCGAAAAAGCAGGAAATAAAGGTCAGATAAGAGTCCGGGCAGGTGGGTGAGCAAAATCATCAGCAGACATAGAACCAGTTCTATGTCTGCTGCTCTTCAGAGCTATCGGTTCTACAGAGGTGGACAGAACCGGTAGAAACCCACCCCTGCTGAAAGTACAATGTGAAGTACTTACTTCCAGTATCAACAAGCCACCTGCTTGTACAGCCAAAAGGATCCTTTTGGTCTATGAGAGCCACCACCTCTCCTTCATAAAGATCAATATCCAATTCCTGTGTGGCATTGCATTTACGCTTGGCTTCGTATAGCAAGTCCACATTGTACATAGAAAGTAGCATCAACCGGTGGGCTTCTTTCTGGCGGGGAAATTCAGGCTGGAAACAAAAAGCTGATTGAAAGAACTAATATACCATGGAACAGCATGCTCACTGTTAATTGCAATTTTCTACATAATGTGATTTCAGTCCTGGCCCGGTTTAAAATAAGAAAAGGCTTGTTTAGCTTTGCTCAATTAGCCAAAGCCAAACTCATGTTCAAAATCACATTATGGTTTAGTCCAATGAATGAATCCAGTCTTATTATTCACATACTTGTGCTGGTTCATATTTTTGAAGCTATAAAATTAATCTTCTACAAAGCATATTACACTTGTCTGCTTCTCTCTTTTTAATACATTCATTCAGTGAATTAATATAAGGCATTTGAACTTATCTCTATCCTAAAGCAGGGGTCCCCAAGCTTGGCAACTTTAAGACTTGTGGACTTCAAGTCCGAGAATTCCTCAGCCAGCATAGCTGGGAGTTGAAGCTGGGAGTCCACAAGTCTTAAAGTTGCCAAGTTTGGAGACCTCTGTCCTAAAGTGATTCACATCACAATGCCATTCTTTAGAAATTAGCTATCCATGATAATATTGTCTTATGCACGGAATGATATACATCAAATTATAGATATACATCAAACTTAGCTGCTGCTTCCTAAGCATCTGATATTGTTTGCGTGAAGCAGGCCTGGGTGGAAACTGGGATCCAAACATCAGCAAAAGCAATGTCTATCTGTTAGAATTGTATCCGCTTCACTGCAGGTTACTCAGTCATCGGCACAGACGTGTCAAATTCACATCGTCATGGCTGCATCACATGATGTATCGGGACTTCCCCCACCCCCCCTTGCTAAACCAGGCATGGGGATGGCCAGCACATGACGCATCCGGCCCACGGACTGGGAGTTTGACAGCCCTGGTTTAGCATGTAGGCACTTAGCCATAGTAGATTTTTGGTTTTAGAGTATACCCAAAGGAGATCTCAATATCTCTAGATTGACTATAAAGATGATGAATCCGTAGCTCACAGGTGTCAAACACACAGTGCAGTGGTGGAATTCTTTTTTTTTTTTTTTTACTACTGATTCTGTGGGCATGGTTTGGTGGGTGTGGCTTGGTAGGCATGGCTTGGTGGGCATGGCAGGGGAAGGATACTGTAAAATCTCCATTCCTTCCCCACTCCTGGGAGAAGTTTACTGCAAAACCCCATTTCGTCCCCACCCCAGTAACCTGCTTTCCAGCTCCGTTCTCCTGTGCAGAACAACAGAAGACCCACACGATCAGCTGGGACTTGGGAGGCAGAGAATAGATGGAGGCAGAGCCAGTCAGAGGTGGTATTTGCTGGTTCTCCAAACTACTCAAAATTTCCACTACCGGTTCTCCAGAACTAGTCAGAACCTGCTGAATACCACCTCTGTCTCAGCGTTACATTGCCGTCACATGACATTTCGTGACATTTTCCCCCTTCGTGGAGCTGGGGTGGGTGTAGCTTGCATGTGATGCATCCGGCCATGCGGGTCATCAGTTTAACACCCCTCCCCTAGCTTGACATAATTACTCAATTTAATGGCAATGCATACCTGGAGAGAGACAGGCCTCTTTTTTTCAAAACTCAGTTTTCTTTCAATAAAAGTTACACAGTGGTTTTCCTTGATACAATTCAAATTGTGAACATCTTCAAGAACCCGATCCTGTATTTCACTGATAGTTGGAGAAGATTTCTGCAAATGGTAAAAGAGACCCAAGGTTACCTAATCATTCACCAGCTTCAAGTATGAAGAAGCTTCTACTAAGATCTATATCTCTAACACAGATTGCAGTAGACACATGTTAACACAATTAACACATTGTTAACTACATGTGTTTATCAGCCATTGTGCAAGCACATTTCTAGGTTTCCAAAATCCTATTGCCTAATGGATGAGTTGTGCTTGCTGTATCTTCCAAAAAGGAATTAGGGAAAGAACTGATTGTTCATCTGCACATGTTAATTCATTTTAATGTATGCCTTGTGAAAAAAAAAAACTTTTTTGAGGCAACAGTGCTGAATCAGAAAACACTGGATAGCAAAAGACCCAGCCGAGAGAATTTAAACATCATATGCAAGGGATATGCCACTTCCAGATAATGCAATCCACTCTGCTTATTTAATTGGAACTTATTCACCAAAGGGATGTGCAGAGAATTGCTCTCATAATTTATTATCTCCCGGATTTAAATACGGTTCAGATACTGGTATGCACTTTCCCTAAAGGAGCACAGTGGTTCATGTGGTTGGAATGCTGGGCAGGAGGTTAGATAGCCTACATTTGAGACCAAAGGATTGTCATGGTGCAGGGTGGAGCTCTCATCCTTCACTCCAGCTCTCGACAAGGACATGAAAAGGAACCCCAAACTGGCCGTGCCCAGGGCAACATTGATGATACCGGCTAAAGCAATAGCACTTAGACTTACATACTGCTTTACAGCCCTCACTAAGCAGTTTATAGAGTCAGCCAACTCTATATCGCCCCCAACAGTTTGGATTCTCATTTTACCCACCTTGAAAGGATGGAAGGTCTGGTGAGATTTGAACTACCAAATTGTGTGTGTAGGCCGGGACACTTTGGAATGATGGAAGATATGTGATAGAAATCACAACATCAATATTAATCCTCTCCTAACTCATTTCCATACTACCTTTGAAAAAAATGCAGAGGCAAAAATAACCTTCCATGTTTTGGTGACATCACTAACCATCCCTATCAACATTTCATCTACCAGCAATGTAATACCACTGCTTCAGAATTGTCCCCAGAATTTTTTTTTATTATTCAGTTGGTGAATTTGCTTTTAAAATTTCCATCTAAGACAATCAATTCAGCTCAAAAATTGCCGGTTAAAACGCATTTTAAACTTCAAAGAAGAAAGAACCGCAAACTACTTTCAGCAGGGTGTTGTTACCTCCGGTTTAATGGCTAGCAACTGGGATTCATTGGTTGAAAAGGACTGTGAGGCCGATGACATCATGTCTTTCAGGAGAGTGATGAGACAACATAGGCAACTGGTCACAATTTTCTTTGCTGCTTCATTGAACTGCTGGAGCTCCTCCACCAGCTGTGCATTGAGGGCCTCATATTCTTTCCTGGCCAGGTCAGTATCATCCCCTGAAGCCTTTTGATACAAGCTACTGTAATCCAGAAGTTTGTCATAACGCTTTTGTATGAGCTTCTGGGGACTGAGGAAAAGAGCGTGTAGTGTAGTCAATGGAGTCAACACCAACTTCTCTACTTGATTCAGCTTCATGCATTGGAAGAAGGAAAGGCAAAAGATATAATGTGTCAGAACAAAGAAAGCAGTATCGTTCATATTCGTTAAACAACATTAGCATAACTTTTGATGTAAGTCAGTCCTTATCTCCCATATTTCTAAGTATGTCAGTACACTCAAAATGCCTCCTAGTTGTGGGCTACAGGCAGCGGTATGTTAGCAAATAATACCTTATATTTGCTAACATACCGTCTATATCTTGCCTATATTAGCCTAAGTAAGTGAAATTGAACTTTGTATTTGTGGCATACTGGCCAGAATACAGGTAGTCCTAAAACTACTACAGTTCATCTAGTGATTGTTCAAGCTTACAACGGCACTGGAAAAAGTGACTTATGACTGTTTTTCACACTTAAGACTGATGCAGGATCCCCTTGGTCATGTGATTAAAATTTGGATGCTTGGTAACTGATTCCTAGTTATGACCGCTGGAGTTTCTCAAGGTCTTGTGGTCACCTTTTGCGAACTTGTTACAAGCAAAGACAATGGGGTTAGGGTTAGGATTCACCCAACAACATTAACCCTAGCTTAAAATTGCAATGATTCACTTAATAACTGTGGCAAGAAGGATCATAAAATAGGTGCGATGACCCAGGGTGGGATACAAAATAAACACAGGCACAAAAACAGGTAAAGCCCCTTTAATTCCTTCAACTTGGCTTTAAAGCTCCAAATATCCTTGACTGGAGACAAAAAACTCCCCCACAAACAGTTGCAAAAAGGAGGAGATGCCATTCAAACTAAAAATACCTATAAATTATAACTATAAAAACAACACAAACCACACTGAAGCAATTAAGGAAACCAGGCAAGATAAGGGCTTGAAGACATCCACAGATATTGAAATACATACACTGGGAAGGATGCCAAACTCAGGTAAGAACGGAAAGACTAGAAATATTTTCATGCTTATTTTCACACTTTGTTTCCAGCACTGGCTTATGCGCAGTCCTCCTTTTAACCAGTTCTCACAGCTGCAGCCCATGAAGGGGATCAAGGCCCTTTCCTCCCCTGTAGACCATGCCATTCACGATTCTCCCTTATCATCTCCTCCCTGTGTGCCCTAGGATGAAGAGGAGATGGGCCTGGGTCCTCCTCTGACTGCCCAGCCAGCCTGTGCCCTTCCCCAGCCTCCTCTACAACCTCCACAGTTACACTTCCACTCCCTGTCGACTGTTTCTCCTCTCCCTCAGAGTCAGTCTCCAACAGAGGCATGACAATAGTGCAGAACTCACTTAACATATGTCTCACTTAGCAACATAAGTTTTGGGCTCAATTGTGGTTGTAAGTTGAGGGCTACTTGTATATCCTAACTGATTAGTGCCACCTTTACAATTAGTGGGGGGAGATACATGTGGCATAGGGGCCATTAAGATTGGTATTCAACTTTAATCTTGCCTATCTTGCTAAAAAGCATTATGTGAAAGTCTGAATTGAACCCTGGATGGCAGCAGAGATCAATATCTGTGGGATCATATTAGAGGTGGTACTCAGCAGGTTCTGGTAGCGGAAATTTTGAATAGTTCGGAGAACCGGCAAATACCCACCTCTGACTGGAGATTTTACAGTATCCTTCCCCTGCCATGGCCACCAAGTCACGCCCACAGAACCGGTAGTAAAAAAGAATTGAATCCCACCACTGGATCATATCATAAAAAGAATATCACATGCAGGATTGTAACTTAAAGCATAAGAGAATTAAATGGCAAAAGGCAAAGGAAGGCAGAAAGGCAGGGAGGCAGGGAAGGAGGGAGGGAGGCACGGAGGAAGGAAGGAAGGAAGGAAGGAAGGAAGGAAGGAAGGAAGGAAGG